GCGTCCCAAACTTGCGGCTCGCGAATATTCATTCGGTTTTGGAGCGCGGAGAATTCCTTTGTGCCCTTGTGCGGCCTGTGGCCGTGCGGGCGTACTTGACTCCGCGACTCCACAGCTCCGCAGACAGACCCCGGGTGCGAAGAGGTTCGTAAAGTGGATACACATGCCCATGAGCTTTTCGCATACTGCGAAACATGGCGATTTTGAGATGTGTGACTTAAAATCGGAGACCCACAAAAAATGGTTTCCCTTTTCAATCCAACTCAAAAAGGGTGGCCTCAAAAGCTACAAAGCTCATGTGGGAGTATCTTTTCTTGCCCCATTTTCAGGTGGGTTTTCACATAGGACCTCATTTTGCGCCCTATGTTGAGCTCACTCCCTGAGTTGGACTTGATCGTCACTGGGCTCGGACCATCGTCAAGACTAGATCCCCCAGCGATTGGTGCAACCGCTCTTTCACCCCTTTTTTGGTTGGGAGATTCGGTTCCCCTACTAAAGCAGACTACACAAGAAAAAGGTTGGTACCAACTTATTGTAACCTCTCTACTGGAGGACCTAGAAGAGATGGGAAATGTGTGTGAGACTGGGAAATGAGATAGAGAGAGGCTAGAGGAGATTCCCTCGTTCGTTCGTTCACTCTCTTCTCTCCATCATTGGGCAATCCACTGGATCGGACAGTGCCACGACCTCCGAGAGGGCCGTTGCCTCGATGCGAACCACATTCAGCTCTCGCTGCAAACTGGGGACTAGAGTGACTAGAGCGCCCCGGCGAAAAGGCGAAGAGGCGAGGCGAAAAGAAAGCAAGCGGTTGCACGGTTGCAAGGTCGGAGGCCTAGGTCACCCGTTTCTTTTGGGGACCGCATCAGGTTAGACTGAATGGTTTGGATAGGGGATTGAAGCCCTGGTTGTGAATGGGAAACCGCAGTGATCCAAACGGAACCTGAGGTCGGTTTTCCTGAAGAGAATCTATGAACAAGCCCGAGAAGAGTGGGTGGACTCCAGCGGAGATTTCTTGGAGCCGGAGCTCCAAGAGATCGGAAGCTTTTCATTGCGAAACCGATTCCCAAAGAGCTCGTTTCGCTGGCTGGTTGAATTGGGGAACAGCCTGTAGCCAACGCTTGCCATGTAGAACCACAAGTCATTGGGGGAAAAAGTGGGCACTGCTCTGTGAGGATCTTGAAATGGAACCCCTGAACTTTGGTGCATGTTGCTTGGATGTTAGGACTTTATTTTTTTGCCAACCAATGGGTGTTTCATTAAACCACTAAAAGTTACTTTAGCAGGGGAGCAGAAAGCAACCGAGTGAAGAAATCAGTTCCACCATTCCAAACTGACTATATCAAAAAATAGGTGGGCCTCATGGGCTTAGTTGCAAGTTGGTGGCTTCCATACAAGGGGCACCTCGGTTTGTTGAGAAGATTCTAGGGCCTACAGTTAGGATCACCAATTGAACCTCTTCAAGTGTCACTGGAGCCGCCAGGTTGTGACTCGAGACCAAAGCCGAACCTTGAGGGTACTTTTTTTTGTGGGTTTAAAGGGGAGCCACACGGAAAGCCAACATGTGGGGACATTCAGGAAATGGGGTTGGGTACGTCATAGCCAACCTAAACAGCTAGAACGAGGTTGGGTACTTCAAACCCAACAGAAGTCATGGCAGCGCCCGCAACATCTTGAAACGTTCTTTCGCCCCTATGATTCTGGGAGTGAGTCAAATGTCCTTTGTGCCTTTCACTCCTGGATGGCACTGATCCGCCAGAAAGTATTTATCTTTGTCACGTTGAAAGAGATATGAAGGCAACCCAAGTGAAAAGCCCAGGCATCCCCAACAGCCCCGGATTTCCTTCTCCAGAACCCTACCCTCCAGGAACCTCCCGGACCCTCTGGACCCCAGAGCTACTTGGGCAGAGGTAAGCTTTAAGCTGGGGAAAGACCCACAGGTTACACGCCTGGTTGTGTCTTTTTTGGGGGAACCCACCTGGGTGCCTACGCGAGGCTCTGCAGGCTGGGCGAGACAGAGAGAGAGAGAGAGAGAGAGAGCAGTTTCCCAGTGCCCATTGCTCCGGCCGATTCCGGTTCCGAATCGCCCCACTCGCAGGGTGATCCGATGACTTTGTTCCAGCCCTCAGGATCATCACAACGGCCCTTGTGTGACGCTGATCCGATCTGCCGAAAAAAACCGAAAAGCACCCAGGCCTCCAGGCCTGCAGTACTGGAGGTTTGGGTCCAGCGGCTCCAGATTGCGGCCTTTGCTGTTGGAAGAAGCTGCCCATGTAGAGGGTTTTTCAGGGAGCCAGAAAGGGACAGGGGTCTCCTCCTGCAGAGCAATGGCTTTTTCTTTGGATTGGACGAAATATGAAGCAGAGTCAGATTGCGGTACCTTTGGAGTACCTACCCCAGATTGGACGACCATTTAAGGCTTCCCATGAAGGGAACCATGACCATGGCGCAGAGATTCGGAGTTTTGAGCGTGGCAGAAATAATTGGACATCACAAGCGGTTCGGAAGGTGCAGTGGATCAACAACCCTTTGGGGAATCCACACAAACAGACCCCCCCCCCAAATACCCCCCTTGGCTCACGTGGATGTTTTTCTTTCTTTCCGGAGGGCGTCCCCCAAAGGGGGGAGGTTTCCCTAGAGACCAACCCCATACAGCCTGTTCATGAAGTGAGCCACAGTCAAAACTCGGGGATTGATGAAGATCCCCTTGCCATAAATAGCTGCGGATATCCGCCTTCTTAATTCCTTACATGGTTCTGGGTAGACCATTTTAGGACCGGGTTTTGAGCAAGTGACTCATCTGGGCAGAGACCCCATCGAAAACCAGTGTGGTTCATAGAAGCTCCATGGTTGACCCTGGGAAAAGTTTCATCCCACTTTGGTGGGCCATTCTTTTCTTTTCTTTTCCGGGTTTTGAGCAAGTGACTCCAGTGTTTCGCAAGTGGCCCGTAGATGCGTTGCCACCAGACTCCAAGCAGTGCTCAACTTTTCGGGGGTCCCGAAAAGGGCCAAGGCTTCGGGCTCCGGAATTCCGGTTTTGGGCATGCTGGATTCTAAGGATACCTTTTCCATTTCCATTCTGAACCCAGGGATCCTTCTTTCCGGAAAACCTCCTTGGAAACCCAGGGAAAACGACTTGTTGGAAAGAACTGGCTTCAATATTTTACCATCAAAGTCACCCCCGTTCAGTGGGTTAAAGGGAAACAGCCAAGCACATTTTCTGACTTTGACCCCCAGACACACTCAAAATCATGACCCCTGGCATGGGACCCACAGAAACATCCAGACTCCGCATGGTCAGCGGATTCTCTGGAGCTCGCGAGTCGAAAAGTGTGGCAAGGTAACAACAAGAGAGCATTCCTCCCTGAACAGGGCTCCTTAAAAGATCTGCATTTTGCAACCATCCATTTGAAACACGGCCTTTTCAACACCGAAATAAAGTTGGAAACCACCATGTACAAGTTGCAATGTTCAGGTGCATAATGTAAGGATCCCTGCTGAAGGCAAGAAGACCCGGAGACATCCGGAAGGAACACACTTGTTGGACGCATTTAGAGTGTTCTTCTTGCAATGCCATTGATTCCATGACTGACGATATCACTTTGGAGACCTCAACCCATCCTCTTCTCACAAATGGCCGGAGCGGCCCGACATCACAGGGAGTTTCCTTCGAGACATGGCAACTGATCCATTTCACACACCGCAGCAGTTCATTTGGACCGTGTGCTGGGGGTGAAGGTTATTTTCATGGATCTAAGAAACCAACTCCAGGAGGTTAGCAACCAAACCCCTGGGATTTTGTTGGTTGGGGCAATTTCCTGAAGTGCTTTCCCTGGAGTTGGTTTCTTTGAATGGGTTTCTTATCATGGAGGTCCTTTTCGATAAATTTCTATGCTTCAAGGATACGTTCAGGTATGGGTCCGGGTTTATGGAGGTATAGAGCTCATGTACCACTGAGAAAAAGGGTATATACCGCCTTACAAGCTTGTGTTGGTGGTATATAAGCATCCATACCTCCAAGACCCCATACCCAACTGCCCTTACATTGCCCCCTGCAAACGTGCTGTTGGCCCGCTTGCAAAGGATTCCGCCAACAGGAAAGCAGTCTTCCACAAGGGTATTCCTCTTGTTGGGAGAAATCCTTTTCGTGGGCATGTTAGCTAGGTCCCCCAGCTAGGTGCCCTTTCTCACCAACTTTTTGGGGGAGGGTTCCCCTACTAAAATAGACAACAGAAAAAAGTTGGTACCCTTTCTAAGCTCTCTACTGGGTGTCCAGGAGGTAACTTTGGTGAACTTCTAGGTTTGTTGGCAGGAAGGCAATGATTTGTAGTTGATTAATCTAGTTGTGTTCAATGTCGCGGACGTCAGCTCTCGGTCTTTGGCGCTCGCCTGTTGTTTTTCTTCTTTTTTTCTCCTTTTTTGTTCTCCAGGGACCCCACACTTCCCAATTTTTGGTGGGTTTGAACATCACCTTTATGGCCAATTTAAGTGAGAAAACCTTGGAAGGGGTGATGTTTGCAAGGGCTCTACTTGGCGAAGCCTGTGAAGGGCAACGTCCTGCATCGGCCTGGTTTTTGGCTGCGGAAAACCTCGTCTGGCAAGCCGAGAAGAGATTGCCCTTTTCAAGGTTGGTTTACACAGGGCTCCTTAAAAGATCTCCATTTTGCCCATCCATTTGAAACACTGCCTTTTCAACACCGAAATAAAGTTGGACACCACCATTTACAAGTTGCAATGTTGAGGTGTATAATGTATCCGGATCCCTGTTTACAGACAAACCACAAGGTTAGAAATTAATTGGGGCCCCTTTGACACATACCCACTAAGAGTTCCTTCTCAGCATATTTTTTTTCTCAGGCTGATGGCCGGTCCTTTGGTTTAGTCAGGCTCAAGCGTCTGGCAGAGAGGGGTTTGCAAAGAGTCACACAAGGAGTTGTCCAATATTCTGACAGATTCCCACAAACCAACGTAAGGCTGTGGAAAGATAGTGGAGTCCATGAGTTTCCCGATCCTCAAAACTCGAATTGAGTCGCGAACAGCGAATGCGGCTGAAAGTGACGCAGACGGATGCGAGCGGAGTAAGTGCAGGACCGACCGCTGATTCGTTTGCCGAAATTCGGATCCCAGCTGCGGGTTTTCCTTTGGTCCCCCTGTTCCCCTTGTTCCCCTTGTCAAAGTGTCTGGCGTTTGTGGAACTATGGTTTGGGGGTAGACAAAATATGATCCCGAATCGGGACATTAGACGAACTGTAGACGAAATATGAAGGCTGGCGCTTGATGAATTGTTCAACTTGGACTCTTCAAATTGCAAGGGGAGGCAATCAAAGGGGACAGTTAGCAACGTTTGTAGCCTGTACACATGCTTGCAAGTATCTTGGTGTAGTAAGTGTTGCGGATGGTCCCAAAACAAACATTGCCTTTAAACTGCCTTGTGGTGACTGTACACTTCCAATTGGCACCTGTTCTCCTTTGGTTGCTGGTTCTTAGGGAAGGTGGACAATTTCAACCATAAACGGATCCTTGGACATGGTAGGGGTTATTCCTCTATTCTCCGAGAACGAGCAAGTAATCCGGCCTAGTTTAACTAGGCAAGTTTGGGAAGATCGACTAAATCTACCCTATCACCTTTGCAGTGTTGAAGCAGGAGGGGTTTCAGAAAGAAGCTTGTCTCCGTATTTTCATGAGCCAGTCTAAATGGTAAGTTTCTTGGTCAAATGGGGCACCCGACATGAGTCAGGAGTCCGGGCCCCGTGTGAATCCAGTACTCAGAGGTGGTTGCTAGAGTCCTCGAATTTCGGTTGACATGTTGACGCCGGATCTAAGCGGAACCTGCCAACTGCACAAACCGCATTTCGCACAGCTTTGGGAGTGAAACTAGGTCACTCAGTAGCGCCCTTCTCTCCCTTTTTTTGGTTGGGAGGGTTCCCCTACTAAAATACACTACGCAAAAAAGGGCACCCTTATTCTAACCTCTCTACTGGAGGACCTAGGAAAGTAGAGAAAGCTGTGAGAGCAAAACGTGCCCGGAAGGAAACCACCGCGTTTTCCAACATGTGGAGAGACAGTTGATTGTTTCCCCACCTATTCATCACGCGAAGACTCATGCTCAGGCTTTCTGCCGGAAAACCCGGGTTCTGTGTCCCTTTCAAAACATCCTCTGAGAGGAAACTCGCCGATCAGCCGTCCTTCTTTGGTAAGAGTAAATGGCACTGGTCTTACTTTGGTTCCAATCACTACTTGTTCTATCAGTTTTCCAAAGGACGCCTAAGCCAACAAGATGTTCAAACTACGGATATATAATGGGGAAGCATACCCTGCATATTGTAAGTAGGGCACAAGGGAAACTCTGTAAAGTCTCATGGGTTGTGGTTGGCTTACTTTGTCCATCCACCGTATGATGGGCGAATCCACGCAGCACGGATTTCATCCATCCCAACGGGTATAGCCCATCAGTGCCAAAGATAGATCCGCCTCAAGCACGTGTGTGGGAGGGGGGGGTGAAGAGGCGCATGTGGGCTTTTTGTGGTAAACCACGTTTGACACGTGTTTGATCAAAAAGGAGCCCAAGAAAACATGAACCATGGTCATTTCTTGGTCATTCTCCTGGCTTTTTCCCAAATCTTTTGCCCCCCCGCAGCTACGGGAATTCCTCCCCCATCACTCGTTGTCACCGGGAGTTCTGTGCCGTCGAACTCGAATTGCTTTGCCGGTCAGGTGAAGCACCCCACATTGGGACAGGTTCTGCTGACATGTTCAGATGACAGATCTGCTCAAAGCCTGCCAGGGAAGATACCTAGAAAACACAAGCCAGGTCCCCCAGCAGTGCCCGTGCTCTTTTATCCTCTTTTTGGGGAGGGTTCCCACTAAAATCGACCACAGAAGAAACGGGTGCCCTTGTTCTAACCTCTCTACTGAGGATCTAGTGTATCATCAGACCGCTTGTCCACCGCCGGTAAAAGGTCAGGGACTCCCAGCGATTTCGGACCTTTGCCTAGGACGGTCGCTCGAGGAGCTCGACAGCCTTGGCCCTAGTCGCGGGTCAAGATGGCAGGAGGTGAATGGAAAACCGGACTTGGGCTGCCGAATCACGGAAGTCCAAAGGAGAGTGGTGTTCTTTTGAGGCCATGTGTGTTCCTTTCCTTTTCTTTTCCGGAAGCCACAGGAACGCACGACTTGTTGTTATTTTGCGGACAAGCCCAGGTTTGGAAGACGGTCATCTTCAGAAGCCTCCTGCTCACTTCTGTTGAAAAAAGGGCAATCAACAACACCCTTGCGAGACCAAGCCTAGCCATGACTCATGGATTAAACCATCATCCCCTCACGTGAGAATGGTCATGGTGTCCAAAGGAAATCTATGGTTGTCAAGATTCCCAACTGATCAAGGCACTTCCCCAGAATTAGCTCCCCCTTTTCTTTTCTTTTTTTGCCTTTTTTGGGTCCCTTTGTTTTCCACTAACCAGGCAAACATATATATATATATATGTATATATATATATATATGTATATATATATATATGTATATATATATTTTGCTGGGGTCCCTAATTCCAGCCTAGGGCATAGAGAGCTGTATGATCAAGGCATGCCGGTGCCGGCCAGTCAGGTTCGGGAAACAGATTCAAATCATTGCATCAAAGCTGGCCCCGGTCAGTGTTCACGGGGCCCTTGAGCCTTCTCACTAAACTGGTCCTGTTGGTAGTTGCCACTCATCTAGTTGCCACTCATCTAGTTGACTAGTCTGGTTGACTCGCGAGCCTTACAGCAAAGAGACTTTTTGGAGGGTATTGATTTCCTTCTGGTTTCCTTTAAAGCCATCCAAAATTAGACTCATGGTGGTTTACAAGAGCCTCAAAAGGGTTCTTAATTTGAGCCAGACCCGATTTTGGCTGTCAATCTAGGTGGGCCACCAAAATGATCGGCTTCCCTTTTCCTTTAACCCCACCCAAGCTTTAGACCACTGTCGACCATTTCTTATCTCAGGTTTTGATTCTGACTCAGTTGATGCTTTCACAAAAACATTCAAAAGGGAAAAAAAAGGGGAAGCCAACCAGCCTTTGATTGTGACTCATTTTTGTGCGGCCCTTCCGGAGTTTCATCCAACTTTGGTGGACCATTCTTTTCCTTCTTTTTGCCCACCGGAGTGAGCATAGAGCTTCCAGCAGAGTTGGTGGTCCCGAATCCCCTTTTCCAGGAAGCCACCGCTGGGACGGTTTATAGGGGTCACTCCAACTCATTCCACCTGCTGAGCACCAAACCGGGCCAGAAAACGGGTATTACCAACAAAACATGCAGCAAAAAAGACCATTATTATTTTTCCAAAATAGAAAGCCTGTAAACATTCGCCTTTAAACATGCAACCACAACCATGGTTTTGGTTCCCCTTGTAAGGGTATTTTATGGTTATGGTTGCATAAACCCCTAGGGGGTGGTTGGCCTGCCCAGCATCCCTCCACCTCCAAATCTCACCTTCTTTCATTGTTTTCCACCCACTGGGGTAGAAAACTGTTTTCTCAACCCTCACACAAAATGAATGTAAAATGAAACAAATGCAGAGAAAAGAAACCCAAATGTGATTCCAAAATAGAAAGCACGTAAACATAGCATCCTGCCGGTTGCCCTGAAAAAAATGGTGGAGTGCCCGAGACGACCGGTGGCCGACCGGTGGAGACCTGACCGCTGAGGCGGCCACGTGATCCTCGGCGAGGTCTTGGGCTCCGGCAGCTGCGCGGTGATCTTCCCAGTGGAGGTGGTCGACAAGGCCCGGGCGGCCACGCACCGATCGACGCGCGTCCTGAGCGCCCGGGGCCCGCCCGCCGCCGAATTGTTTTCCGTTTTCCTTTTTTTTTTCTCCCCCCGTGTTGTTTTTCGTCTTTATCTTTTTTTTCGGGGCATGGTGGTTGTTGGGAACCATTTTACATTTGGCTTCTTGTGGTTTAGTGGTTGAAATCTAACCACTTAACTGCTGAAATTTATGTTTTTGCTCCCCTTGCAACGTCAATGCAGGGGGGGTCTAAAACGCGGAGGAGAGAGTTTTTTTTTTTTTGTTTTTTTTTTTTCCGGAGGGTCAGGGGAGAAACCAGTAGTAACTTGCCGCTACAATCACAATCATGACCATGGTGTCACGAATGGGATTCGCTGGCCTTTTCACCTTGCTTTGAAGGCCAAAGGGAGTTATGTTGAAGCCCGGGTCCAACAAGAAGCAACGCCGAGAAGGCAAAGACTCGGGCTATCTAGGTCCCCCAGCTAGGTGCCCTTGTAGCGTTTCTTTTTTTTGTTTGGGGGGGTTCAACTACTAAACCCATACCTGGTCAATCTCCACTGTCATCCAAACAGCACCACCTGGGGGGTCCACGCTTAGAGACAGAGAGAGACGACTCTCCGATCATGGAACCCAACCTAGGTCCCCCAGCCAGGTGCCCTTCTCTCCCCTTTTTTTGGGGAGGGTTCAACTACTAAAATAGAATACAGAAAAAGTTGGTAACCTTATTTTAACCTCTCTACTGGGAGACCTAGCTATGACTCCTTTTTGCCCATGCAGTCTTGGCACCATCGGCCGACGGGTTGCTACGAGGCTCCAAACTTGGCTCCCGGCCATCCGGTTCCTTAGCTTTTTTCAGGGTTTCTTTTAAAGGGGTTGAGTGGTCGTTTCCCTTTTCCCCACGAAAAGTTACGCCCCCTTAGCTTTTTTTTTTTCTAAAGAAGTTAAACTTTTAGCAGGGGATCTGAGGGCCCAGCAAAGCATGAGAAGGGTTGAACATTGGATTTCCGCTTCTTCCTCAAGGTCGAGTTGCTATGCGCCGACCGGGTGTTGCGAGCAATCCTGTTTGATCATCGCCTCTTATTTTTTCTCACAAAAAGGCTGATCTGCGGGGGGGGGGAGGAGGGGAATAGCCACACAGATCAGACTTGCGCACGCGCTAAGATTGCTTTCTAGGGTTCTGCAGGTGTCACCCCGCGTTTTCAGCCGCTTGACGAATGCCCGTGGACACTTGGGGGCAACCAACATTAGCTTTGCCCTCTACGATGAGCAACGAACATCAAGTTTCATCCTAGGCCCAGGCTTCAACATCAACCAAGACCAGCCCACTTTGTTTTTTCTTTTTTTCGGAGTTTCCCAAAAGGCCCGCCTTTTTGTCGGGATCTTGACGTCGTGTTTCGCTGGTCTCCGGCTTTTACCTCAACCACCCATCCCCCCATCCCCGCCTCCTGCGCGCGCGCGGTCTCCAGCCCTGGCTGGAGCCCATCTCCCGGCGGACGCAGCTGGTGGCCAAGGTCTGCAAGCGAGGCGCGGCCGCGCATTTTTGTTTCTTCGCCCGTGGCTTCTTGGCGGCTCCCAGCCATCCGGCTCCTTAGCTTCTTAGCTTCTTAGTTGGTTTAGTGGTTGGGTTTCCGAATTTGACCCACTCAAAGTGAAAAGCTTTTGGCAGGGATTCCAACCGCCGGAAGGAATGGAGGAACTCTGATCAAACATTTTGGGAACAAACAGCTCGTCGGGATATGGAGGAACAAATCATTGGCGTTGCCAACATCTATGATCCCTATTTGTTTGGTCGTTGTTTGGGAAGAAAAGTCTTACGGAGAGAGTTTGACCATGGGGGCAGAGAGTTCTGGAGTCCTTTTCCTATTCAAAAAGAACAAACAAAACACATATGTGTGTGCGTCTTTGTTGAGGGTAACCCTTTTTTGGTGGATTTAAATGGAACCAACATTGGCAAACCACCTTGTTTTGGTGGAGGGGGGGTCCCCCAAAAAGAGACATCCGAAAATAGTGAAACGTTGTCGGACATGCTTTAGATCAAGATCGAGGTAACCACTCCCTGGGTTCATGAACTTCAAGTACGTTTTGGGCTTGGATAATTTTTGTGGCAAACAAGAAGTTAAGACATTTTTTAGTCAGTCCAACTCAGGAAGTGAGTGTAACCGCAAACCGCCCAGGGTTCAGCCGCTTGAAAAATGCTCCGACATGATGGGTTAAGGGCTTTGGAGGGTGTGTGTGTGTGTGTTTGCGCTCCAAAAGAAGGGGATGTTTTGGATGTTGAAAAGGGACACCGGAAAGAAATCAGGTTTGAGTTAGAGGCGGTTAGGGAGGGAAGTGGTTTCTGAAACGGTTTTCCACTTTTCCTTTCCTTTAACAATCCATCCAGAGGCGGTTTATTCCGCCCATTGGGTGCGTCGGGGAAAACAGGGAGCCTGTTTTTGGTAAAACCGAGACCAACAGAACCCACGTCCTTTGGTTTGACCAGCCGGGAGATAGGGCAGTCCTGTGCCAAGATGTTGCTGCTATGGCGCAAGAACAGAACACAACATGCGAGCCTGAATTGGGGACCTCATATCCGACTGGTTTTCCAGTTGCACCCCTTTGACCCCTTTGAAGGGAGTGTCAGCCACCCAACGGGCGGGGTTTGCTTGCTTGAACCATTTGGCACACTTCAAGGATGCACTGTCTAAACACCAAATTTTTCATTGGCACCCCTTGCATCCCTTTGTTCGTAGGGTTCTCACTAAAGATGAAGGGGACCAAGGTTTCGTGGGTTTTAATTGTGGTATCAGTTGGGGTTGATTCCCCATTCTTTTCAACCATCCTTCTTTCCAGACACCGGCTGTTTTCCCTGGGTTTTCCTGAGAAGGAATGGGGAAGGTACCCCTAGAATATATACATATATATATATATACACACCTACACATACGCATAGACACAACCGAGCGGAGTGCCCCCCTCACTCGGGGCTTCCAGCGAGGCAGAGTGCCTCGGATCATCAGATTCTCCGGGGCCGGGGAAGGCGATGCGAGCGCGACCAACTCGGAAGCGCGGATTCTGCGAGCGGTGCCCGATCACATCAACATCGTTGGCCGCCCGACGTCGGAGAGCCTTTTTCTTTCTTTATTTTTTCTTACGTCTTTTCGAGGACACGCGGAACTTTTTCCGGGTTTCGGGGTGTCACTGCGTTTTTTTTTTTTGGGGGGGGGGTTTTAGGGTTTTAGCTTTTTTGGGGGATGTGTGAGAAACCATGGGGGGCTCTGGACATGAAACTTCTTTTCGAGGACACGGGGAAGTCATGACAAACACTGGATGTTTTTTGTTTCATGTGTTTTTCTTCCAGCTTGGGATTAGTACTATTTTGCCCAGATTCTCAGATGGATCAAACCAATCTGTGTACGGTTCTCGTTGCTAGCAAGCTTCAGTACAGTACTCACCTTGAACGGAACCCCACATGGCCTTACGCTTTGCGCTGCTTTTGGGACGGGTTCTTTGGGTTCCTTTCCGGCGCGTGAGGAAAAGGCAGGCAGGGATCCTTCTGCACAAGTTCTTCAGAGTACGTTTGGGGGTAAAAGCGAGCTTGCTTCCTAGCTGAGATGAGAGTGCGACTTCCGGCCAGGGGTCAAAAATTGCCAGACAATTGGCCAGAAAAAGCCCCTTCGGTCTCTTTTTCTGGTTCCCGGGCTGTGCTCAACTCGCCAGCGTTTCTGACTCCAATCCGGCAGTTCGGTTGCTTTGCGTGCCCTGCGTGGCCTGGACAATACCACGTCCTCAGTAGTGCCCTTTCTCACCCTTTTTTGGGGGAGGGGTCCTCTACTAAAATAGACAGAAACAAGTTGGTAGCTTGTTCTAACCTCTCCACCCGAACCAGCGAACAGTTGCTCAGGAGAATTTGCATTGTTTTCCAGCCGAGGATATCACGGCACCTTCCTTACCTCCGGAGAGAACCAGGCCACTCGCGTTACGGCGATGGTGCACAAACTCTACTTTTCGAGGGCTGTGTATTTGTAGTTCTCTCCGTATGTAATTCGATGTATGGTCAGTTTGGCTGGCTCCCAGCGCTGTAGCTTTGCTCTTACATCGTAGGTGCAGCATTTGTCATCCTATCACTCAATTGGTGGAAATTCGTTCATCCTGGATGTATTTGGATGGTACATTGTTATATCATATACCACTGTATGTTCTTTGCTCATGCCAAAGTATTCATAACCCTCTCTGTTACATCGTTCCCTTGTCAAAATCTTGAGGTTTAGACAACATTTTCGTAGCTTTTGCAAATGGTGATTCCAGGCGGCAATCTCTAGTCTGGAAACACATATGAAGTGAGAGCTCGGTACTTTTACCGTAGCATGTTTTTTTTGTTTTTACACATATCGGGAAACCAATATTTGGGCGACAAGCCACTCAGGAAGTGAGCTTTGATTGCAAAGTACAACGAGCTCAGCTGGACATAGAAGGAGCCGACCTATGAAGGATCTTGATTTGGGATGACTGTACGCTCCTAGCTTGGAAATTATAGCGATTGTTGTCGAGATCCCTCTCCCCATTTGAGCATCGAAACCCCACAGAAGGCCACTGGGTGATTCTACCTGGCTAATAAGCCCGCGAAAATGGCCGGTTTCCTTTTGACCACCAAAATCGCCTCCAACAAGCGCACCCATCCTGTAGATGGGTCTTTTCTTTACCGGGTCCCCCCCCTTTTTGTGGCTGTTTTGGGGGTACCCTCAAAAAAGACACACCCATCTGGGTTTGTCTCAAACTAGGAGAACCACCAAAAGTTGTGTTTTTCTTCTTCTTTGAGTTTCTTTTGAAATCCAACAAACACAAAAAAGCTTTAGCCCCTAGAAGGACACACCCGAGTGGTTTTGCACAATGATTCGCCTGGTGAAACTGGTGAAACTGTCCACCACGAGAAAGCAGGTATAGCTAGGTCCGCCAGCTAGGTTCCCTTTCTCACCCTTTTTTGGTGGGGAGATTCGGTTCCCCTAGTAAAATAGACGTCCAAAAAAAAGAAACGGTACCCTAACCTCTAACCTCTCTGGAGGACCTAGATACCATTGCCAGGCAAGACTCTTTTTCCAGTAGCCCGGAGGTGTTGGTTTTGGTGAAGCTGTCCACCACGGGAAAGCAGGTATCAACCTGTCGAACCATCTTTCGCCCCAAAGCTCGGCTGAGAGGCGCTTCTGGCGGTGCTTGGCAAGTTTGGGCTGGCGAAGCGCCCCCGGCCTCTCAGCTGGGTGGCTGGGGCGGGTTGACAGGGGGGGCAGGGGGCGAGGGGTGGGGTGGGGGGGGTGGGGGGGGGTGAAAGGGACGCCAGCCTTACAGCAATTTGCGGTGCTTCTTTTTTTGGATGGTTTGGTTCTTGTTTCTTTTCTTTTCGCGAGTTTGCAAGGTCGTCAGGACTGGGTCAACATTTGAGCCCTTGACCAAAATGATGAGCAAAGGAAATATAATTTCTAGGTTGGGGTTGAATGCTCACCAAGTTTTGGTTCCTCGCATGTCGGAAGAAAGAACTGAGAGAAGTGCGGAGAGAAGCTTCACGCTGGGTAAAACTAGGAGGTACGCCCTTTTGAGATCGCTCCATATCTCGGAAGTTGTTGGTCCTAGTAATGTTGACCCAGGGTGAATACACCCGTCCCATTATTAGGGGGATATTCCCTCCAAAAGTGATGAATCCCCACTAAAAAGGGACACCCCCCCATTAATCAACCAGGGGTTTATTATTCCGGGGTTAACATTATTTGAAGGGGCCCAACAATCCATCCGAAGGAATCCTAGTGTGGATGCGCAGGTGATGTTTGGATGCGGCACATGCGTATCTCCTGCCTACTTCCATTCGCTTAAGAATATCTTTTATTATTTTCCCGTGTTGGTTTTAAAGGGAATCTATCACTACTGGAAGTATGTGTATTTTTTCCAGGGGTCTGAACCAAATGGAAGCCTAGTTGACTCCTGCATCAGCTTTGAGCCTGTCTTTTGTCGATTCCTTTGTGGCCAAACTAAAGCTTTCGAAAACGAACGTTGGTCTTTAGAACCAAAGCGAGAGAGACATCTCAGAGCGATGGTTCGATGGTTCAATCCGCATCCCAGTCTTTTTGGTCCACGGTTGCCTTGCCGTAGACGAAGGGTCCTGAAAGGTAATCTCAAGGGGATGTGGTGGATAGCTTTCTCAGAAGAAGGGTCGCGGATCCATTGGTTGAAATGGATACGTTCTGTTTCCCATCTGGTTTTAAAGGGAATCTATCAGTACTGGACATATGTTTATCTCTCTCTTTTTTCAGCGGGCATATCCTCTCTTCTATCTCTTCTTCTTCGCTTTCTTTTTTTTCTTTTCTCCACTCTTTCTCCTCTGTTTCTCTTTTCTTCTTTCTTCTTCTTCGTCTCTCAAGAACCGCAAATGGAGGGCTGCCATTGTCCCTCTGGTTGATTCCAATCTTCTCCCAGCGCCTGGTTGGATCGGAGGAGAGCTGGGCTGGTTCGGCCGAATCATAGCTAGGTCCAGCTAGGTGCAACCGACCTCTCACCCCGTTTTTGGTTGGGAGGGTTCCTCTAAAATCGACGTCCAGAAAAAAGTCGGCCTTTTTCTTGATAGCATTGCCAGGCATCAAGACCTTCTTCCAGTAGCCCGGAGGTGTTCCAAGTTTCTTTTCTTTTTTTTTGGCGCTGGGTCTGCTTGGACAGCCCTGAAGTTTTCACGGTATGGGGCAAGAGCCGCCTCTACTTGGATGTTTGTCGCCAAGTTGATAGGTGGTTCGCCACCGGTGTTATAACCCACCAATCACAAGGTTAACTCGACTGAACGGGGGACTTATAAGTGGGGAATAGCCGGCCGCTTGCCGCCCCTTAGACTTTTTGGCGGTTTGTCGGGCCGGCTCCATATACAAAGAATTCTCACAAATAGGTTGGACCCGCAAAGATGGTTGTTGGATTCTCTTTGTTTCCCTCTACCCTCTTCAAGCTGTTTTCCTGACATGCGGGATCGAGGATGTTTGGAACCAGCATGAATCCACTCTTTTTGAAGGGTGTCTAGCTTTGACACGGACCCATAGCATGTCTTTTTTGATAGAACTCACTTTGGGACTGTTTAAAAAGAAGCGAGAGAACAACCACCCATGTTTCTTATCTAGGTCCCCCAGCTAGGTGCCCTTTCTCACCCTTTTTTGGTTGGGAGAGTTCCTCTACGAAAATCGACGTCCAGAAAAAAAGAAACGGTACCCTTATTCTAAGCTCTCTACTGGAGGACCTAGTGGTCCACTGTTGGGCGACCACTTATCACAGAGTAGCTGCATTCCTGGCGTTTGCTAAGGCCAGAGGCCGCCGGAAGTCCGGCGCTCAGGTCATGTGGCAACAGAGAAATCCCGCAGGCTCCCCCTACCAACAAATATCTAGGGGTACCTTCTCCATTCTTTCCAGGAATCCTTCTTTCTAGAAAACCTCCGGAATCCCAGGGAAAACGGCCGGCGTTTGGAAAGAAGTATGGTTGAAAAGAATGGGGAATCACCCCCGGAAAAATTGTATGGAACTGCACAGACCTTTGGAAGACTGGTTCTCTTAGTGTTGCTGGTTCACTGACTTTCACCTGGTTGGACAGGCAGTCTGTTCACTCCGTGCTTTTAGTTGGTGGAAGTTCTGTCATGCCCAGTGTATGTTTCACCAGACAAAGGGGTGGACAGAAACCCAAGTTTGGTCGGACATATGGCTGTCAAACGTCCGCAAATTGGACATGGTGCTGCCCCGAAAGGAAGCTTTCGTCTTCCAACACCCTCCGATCGTCAGCGTCCATGATTGTTGGAGACTAGAATCCTTTCCATGTCCCGATTCCCTGAGTGAACGTCCATCCCCTTCCAATAGTCCCCTGGACAAATTAAGCATATTTCCAGTAGTCATAGATTCTCTTGCTTTATTTTAGTGGGGATTGGGATGTTCACTGGGACGACGATTTGGTTTTGGACCCATGTTGCCTTGCTGCAAGATTGTATGCCCACCGAAGTGGTGTCCCCCTTGCAAAAGATGGTCCAAGGCGCATAGGGTTCACTTGAGAGTTCCTGGGGTTTGCGCAGGCGTCAGGCTGGGAGAAGCCTATCCTACTGCAGGTCAGTTACGATCACCTCACTTGCTTGGGATTGGGGACTTCCATTTGGTTAAGAACATATATATTTTGTTTAACCTGTTGGTTTTAAAGGGAATCTATGACTACTGGAAATATGTTTGTTTTTTTTAGGGGACTTGAGCAAATGGAAGGGGAGGGACGTTCACTCAGGGAATCGGGACATGGAAAGGATTCTAGTCTCCAACAATCATGAACGCTGACGATCGGAGGGTTTTGGAAGACGAAAGCTTCCTTTCGGGGCAGCACCATGTCCAATTTGCGGACGTCAGTGAGCCGGGCCTGGGCTCATCGGCTGAGGGTCTGCACGGGGCGTGTAACCCAGTTGGTTTTTCGGTTTTCCCCTGTTGGTTTTATGGCGAATTACTGAAATCTTGTTTTCTTCTTTCTTTTAGCCTAAAGAGAATGTATCACTACTGGAAATATGTGGCTCATTTGTTCCAAGGAACAAATCAGCACATGGAGAACTGCTTCTTTGTACCTTTCCGATATTTCGCTTGGTGAAACTTTCTGGAGTCCAGGCGTCCCATATGCCAACGTCATGCCGCAAGCAGCGCCCATCTTGATCGGTGGTTCGATTATCTGGCTTCATGACATGAGTGTGAGTTTTTATTTGTTGTTTTTTGGCGGGGACCATTTTTTGTTGGTTGTTTTAAAGGGGAACCAACGGGAAACCACCCTTTTAGGGGGTTCCCCTATTTTGACACATACCCACATCTATAGAAAGGCCATTCAACCATCTGTTGGTGGAATCTAACATGGTTTCCACCACCCCCAAACCACAAACTGCAGGGTGTTGAATGGGATATACAGGCACTATGTGTCTATATCTACTGGGTATATACCCGCGTTTTCCTCTGTGGGTAGCTGCTTGAGGGTAGTGGAAACCATCTTAGACAGAACCAACAGCTCAATGGGTTTTAGGCGCGGCTCTTGTTTTGTTTGGTTCGTGTCGGCAACTTTGTGAGGTGCACAGGAAGAGAAGGCGGGAAACTCGCGGGGCTGTTAGGCAGGGACGGGGTTTATATGGAGTGGATACACTGCTGCATGCAATGGGTGAATATGGCTTTTTAGATACATACGTACACATGTGCATGTACACAGGTGTATATATATATATATACATACACATGCACACATACGTACATATATATATATACATGTATATGTACATACACACACATACATACATACATACATACGTACGTACGTACGTACGTACATACATACATGTATATATATATATATGTATGTATACATATATGTATACATGTTCTTTTTTGTCTTGACTCACGGTGTATACCCTCCATCTCCGAAACCCAGACCCTTGATTGGTTGTTCAAATCTGGAGGGTGCGATCCGATTTCCTACGCGGATCCCAGGCGTTTTGCCACCAGTAGGTAAACCTTCCGGCAATTAATATGGAACCTGACAGAGGGTCCCTTTAAAATGGTCTTCCAGGAATTGCTGGTAAACTTCCCGCAAATTTCTGTGTAGTTTTCCAAGCTTCCCACGGAAAAGGGCTCGAGGTACTGTTCCTGTTGTTACCTTCGTGCTATGGCCAACACCCTCCTTTTACTTAGGGTTGAGGTTCATCAGAGATAGACAACCATTCCAAGGGCTCCGTTCAAGGGAACTGCATGGCTGCCCGGGAGTTTTGTTGCAAGAATTGAATGGAAGACAGAAAGGCGTTTGTTCCTTTTGGTTGTATTTTGAACAAAACTGCTTGGGGTTTGGTCATACTTCTCCAGTCTCTCCAGTCAGGAAGTTTGGCTTTGGGTCCGTCTTGAAGCCGGGCTGAGCGGGATGTGCGATGGTTCGGTCGAAATGCCGCAATGGTTCTTCAAAATGACGAAGTCGTCATAGGAAGTCCCACTTTGGCAGAAAGGGTGAGTGTCCGCAACTATGGCCGCACCTCAACAGAGTTTCTAGAGATATTCATGCGACTTCGAGTTAAACAAACGGACACTTGGTAAGATTGGTCCCTATTTCTGACACGGCCGGACACCGTTTTGGATTGGCCAGTTGCAGAGTGTCTGTGCTCAGGCGGCCAGATCAGCCACGGACGCCCAAAGAATGCAATCCCTCCAAACACCCCGAAGCAAGTAGGCGGTTGTTTTCTTGACGGCACCCGTTTAGCCGTTTAGAGACAGATCCACGTGGGTTTCAATTCGAATGGCGTTCTGACCCCAAAAGTAACTATTCGTTGCTCGATCACAGGTTGCTCTCTGGTTTGACCGAAACATTCTGACCTCATTCGCCCGACTGTCTCCCCACTGGGTGTGTCTTTCTTTAGGGGTCTCCCCAAAAATGATGGTTTTCCTTTTGGTTTCAACTTAAAACCAACCAAAAAGGGGATTCCCCAAAGGAAGACGCAATTAGCAACAAGCTCGACGCAGGGGGAGGTTGTCTCGCACAAGCCCTGCATAACACCGCAGAGCATGCTGACTGAAGCTCGACTGCAAAAACTGCCCAGACAACTCGACTTTGATGGGATCGCCACAAAGAGACATCCGGTTTATATTTATACACATTACGGGCGGGGGGGGGGGGGGGGGGGGGGCGCTACAACTCAGTTCTGTCATGGGGTTCTACAACCCGGTTTTGTGAGAGGGCTTGACCCCCCGCTCATATCTCACACCCGTTTGAGCCTCTGAGCCGGGAGAATTCCATGGTTGGATCATGGGCCTAGACCCAACTTTCCGCAGCCCAAAAATGGTTCGTTTGCACGGTATATTTGGGTGTGTCTCTTTTTGATGGTACCCTTTTTGGGTGTGGTTTGAAGGGAAACCAAAAGGAACACCACCATTTGGGGGTCCCCTAAAAAAAGACGCACCCATTTCACAGTTGGATCGTACATTTCAGCTCGCAAAATCCTTGCGGAGCCTTTCGTGCCATTGCACCTTGTCAAAACAAAACCCGAGGGAACTCACAGGGCGAAAAAGAGAGGTGCTGGTTTCTTTCTCACGAAGACGGGCTGATCTTTAACCAGCGACACGGGGCTGCTTTAGGGATCCCCCGCTCCGAGAACCCGTATGAATCAGATGGGTCCCAACTGTGGTGGTTTTGCAATGCCAACCATTCCAAAGGGTTGAAAGGCACCTCGCAGGTATCCCTATGGACTGAGCGAAATAATGATTGCCACCTGTTATTGTTTTTGCCAGATTGTTGTTGCCAGGGCTCAAGATCATAAATGTGTGGGTGTGTGTTGCCCGTTTTTTTAAAGCCAAGTAATTTGTTTATATTTGCCCCTGCCCAAAGAACATTCCTCAAACGCAGAAGAGAGAAGAAGGCTCCAGAAAAAAATCGTCCAACCGGTGTGGCGTGTTGCCTAGCACCGAGTTCAGATGCCTCGCAGGCGTAGGCCACCTTCGCCCGCCTTTTGCCATCTGTGGCATGAGATCGTAGTCTGCGAACATCAACCTGGGTGTGGCTCCTCTTTTCTTTTTTTTAACAGTGAGTCGGTACCCTTTTCGGTGGGTGCAAAGGGACGTCGAAAGGAACGCCGGTGCCATTTTGGGGTTTCCCCGATTTTGAGACACACCCGAAGGGCCCAACTTATCGCCATGTGGCGCGTCGCATGGCTGGGACTGGCCTCAGCGGCACGGCTGAGCGAGCGGGAGCCACGGAGTCTCTGCCAGAGGCGGGGAAATCGAGGGGTGAGGTGCCGACTTTTCTAAGGGGTTGCAGTGGCACCGATTCTTTCCCTTTTTTTGGGTGGCTGCCCCACTAAAATTGTCTTCCCAAAAAAGGCTGTCCCTAGTCGGTTGCGTCTACAAAGCTGGGTACCCATCCCTGGCAGCCCCGTCTGTGCTCTGCACAGCTCCCCCTGCTGTGGCCCGTTGGTCTTGCGTTGCGTGGCGTTCCTCGTGCTGCTCGGGCTTCCTTGCTTTGCCATGTTGTCGCGTGACCCTTCTGTCCTGCGGGCTCTGGGCTCTTTGCCTGCTGTGGCCATTGGTGCTCTGGACGCTCTGCCGATTGCTCCTTCTTTCAGGACTCTGATCCACTGGCTTGGAGGGGCACCGCCAACCTGCACTTTCGGGTGGAGGCCTTGATTGCCCCGTCTGTCTGGCGCTGCTCTCTGTTTTCAACTGGACTCCCGCCTGACCTTCATGCTACTCCGCACGAGTTCCAGGCCCTCCTTAACCGGCCTTATGCCCATTTCAGGGCTAGGGAGGTGATTCTTGAGCCCGGCACCATGCCAAGGGTTGCTCGTGTGGAGTTGCACACCCCGCTTTGGTTGTATCCCCAACCCCCATTTGTGGAGCCTCTTGCGGTCACCCACCTCTTTGCTGGTTCCTTTCAGGGATGGGGGCAGGCCTTGGATGCTATCCGCATCTCAGCAGGTCTGGACATCGCCCAAGAGGTTATGGTGGACTACTCAGCTATGGGCATTGCCGCCCAAGTTGCTACGGTCATGGGAGAACGCAAGGACCCAGACAAGGATGCCGGATCGGCGAAAGGACCGGAGCGGGATACATGCCGAGCCGGTGGCTTTGAGAACCGCATCCACAATGGCCTCGGGCGTGGCACCAAACGGAAGTCCCTCAGCCAGAAAGTTGGCCCGAGGCACAAGAGCCCTATTGACATCGATACAACGAGGGTCGTCCTGCAGCAGTGCACGCCTGGCAGCGGCAAGATGCAGGTGAGCAATCCGCACAGCAATCCCACGCTTGAGTGGGGCAAGACCACAAAATCCATCTAGAGCCCTGGCGAGGGCAAGGGCCGCCCGGACCCCTTCAACGGAGAGGGCCCAGAAGCGATGGACAACGGAGTGGTCCTCAGGTTCAGTGCCGCGGGCCAAAAAGTCCCGACAAAGAACTGGCCGGTGCCAGACAGGCGGAGCAAAGCTGGGCGGTGTCTGAGTGACACCTTCCAAGGCAGTGTGGGGTCTGCTATAGGACCCGCTCTGTGAGGGCTTGGTAAGCAGAACAGGGAAGTCCGAAAGGAGCCCCTCAAAACACTCGACCACAAGCTCAACGACGGTCTCAATGATGATGGCGTCCTCAACCGCAGGGCGATAGACAATGCCAGGACATAGGTGCACCAGCAAAACTTGCCGCTTGTAGGCAACAGCAGCAGGGACCATCAACCTCAGCGTGCGGAGAGGACCGATAGCGATGCCTTGGATACAAGGGCAGAAGGTTTAGGGGGACTCATGCCACGGGACTCCCCAAGGGCATTGACAGGACAGAACGCCAACCCAGCAGCCAGGGAACAAGCACATGTCCAGGCCGCTGGCTTTTCCTAGCGGATGGAGGCCCAGGCTTTGGCCGGTTTGCTGGCGTCCTGGCCTCGCGGCGCCTTCGAGGGGACAACACGCTTGGTTTGCAAGCAGGAGGAGCAGACTTTTTAGCCAGGCGCTGGCTCGGGCCCGCCGCCTCGGCCGCATGCCGACGGATTGGGGGTTCTCACTTGGCTCGCTGGCTTAGCCATGGTTGGCTCAGCCATTGGGTGGTGGCCGGTGCTTCAATTTGGCTTCTGCAGCTGCAGCGCACGCCGACTCGCAGTCTCAGTTTTTGTGTGCAGTGCAACTTCAGCGGGGTGGTGGCTACGGTGCACTACAGTTTGGTGCAGCTCCGGTTCAGCCTGCAGCTTGGTACGGTCCTATGGGCGCCGGCCCTACACGCCTTGCGGTGGTTGGAGGTGGTGGCCTTGTGCTGGATGCCTGGGCTCCCGAGTGGGGAACTACAACCGCTTCCCCGCATTTAATCACGCTGAGTAACTCAGAACAAACAGATATGTGAAACACTGATTGCGCAATTGCGTAATAGCTGGCAGAGAATTAATTCATCCTTTTGCTGCTTTCTGCCATTCTCGTGCGGTTTTCCCTGTAAGTGGATTCTGCCCAACTAGCATGGACCAATTGCGATAAGGCACTCTAGCTTTCAACGCAATGAAAGCCAGCGAGGCGCAGTCATGGCATCGAACCTGAAACAGCTACTTGTTACATGGCTGCTTTGGGTTGCTTCAGAAACCAAAGAGAACTAGCCCGTTTTGAGCGCTCCCTATTTAAAGACAACCCCACATTGCACTGTAAACCCTGAACTTCCATTTGCTTAAGCCCCCTGGAAAAATGAAAATAGTAGTGATAGATTCCCTTTCAAACCAAGAAGGGAAAATAATTAAAACAAATATTTGTTTCACCAAATGGAAGTAAGTTGCCTGTAAACCCTGAGCTATATCGCATGAGCCAAGTCCTAGAAACTGCCCCCCAGCAAAGAAAAACACCACAAAACATGGAGTGAGAAAACAACAACAACACCATGGGACATGTGCGCAGCTTACTCACAACGAGCTGGACGGGCCAACTTGCCGGACGGACCATGGAGAACATTTACAACAGAAGCGCGCATTCCTGGGGATTCAACTCGGCGAACTCTGACGTTCATTGCCGAGCTCTTGAACTTCCCTCCACCATCAAACCCGTTCGCAGGATCATTCAAAGCCAAACGGCAGTCTCCGAAGTGCATTTTCGATTGACTCACATGGCACTCGATCTAAGCTTGACTTCAGAACAACTACACTGGAACGAAAAATCAAACTTATGCCCCTGTCTGCCAGACAAGACCGGCACTTGCCTCTGAAACAGGACGAGTCCCTGCAACGTGCTCTGCATCTTCCCCCTGCCTGCAGCTGAGAAATGTTGTCTTCGCAGGCGGCACCTGCAAAACAAGCAGCCGGTTGTTTGTGCCGCACATCCCTCGCAGCAGTTTCCCTTCCGGCGCTGCAAGCGTCCGAATTGAAAACCTCGGTGTGTTCGCAACGCAGATTGGAAAGGAGCGTTCGAGATCGGTCCTGGCCTGAAGTCCGGATCGACGGTTTGTGTTCAGTCGCGTCCGAATGGCGTCGAGACGTGCGAAACATCACAGCAGTGCAGCACGAAATGACACCAAAACGACGTCACGGAGCTGTATTGTTGGAGAAAAGAACAACTTGTCAGGGTGTTGCTTAGCCATGGCTGAAGCGATCTTGCCGGCGAAGAAGCGGCGGGTCATGCCAGTGAAGGAGTCCGCCACAGTGCTGTACGTGCAGGACTGACGTAATGAGGGGCGTCGTTATGTTGTGCATAAGTGAGTGACAGTCTGCTAGGCTGTGTATCAAACCAGACAGGTCGGAGTTTTGTTTTTGGTAGTTTAGCTGGCCTCGACTCAGCGAAAAAGTTACCGGAGGGTGAAGTGGAGTAGGAGTGTCCTTGTGACGCTTAGGATTCAGCCACGCTTGCTACCGTCTCGGCTAAATTAGTGGTCAACATTCCCGCAGCGCATCTTCTCGATCTGGGGAAGCTTCGCACGATATCAGTGGACCGTACTGCCAAGAAGGTCTGTGACGTGCCATGATGTAATGGCAGTGTTTGTGGCTTTACGTAGCGCGATTTTTGGTTTCTTGTACATATGCGAGCAAATGTTCTAGACCTTGGCGCGCAGCAGGTCTTCATAGGGCTACCCGA